CGCCTCGGCCCTTGCCGCTGGAGTTGTCGACGTCCTTCGTCGACGACGTCTTCTTCGAAGCTTGCTTCTCCTTGCGCGGCTTCTTATCTCGACGGGGGCGACGACTGGCCGATCGACCGCGACCTCCCTTGTTGTCGTCCTCGTCGCTGTCATCGCGGTAGGGGCACTCGAAGGAGAGATGGTCGGGGTCGCCGCAGATCCAGCACTCCCGCCATCGACCACCACCTCGTCGGCCCTTGTCCCGCGTCGACCGCTTCTCGTCGACGTCCTTCGTCGACCGCCCACCTCCGCTACCACCTCCGCCTGGCTTCCCGCGCTGCCCTTGCTGCTGATTCAGCTTCGTCGATGCAGCGTAGTTTGCCTGCGGAAGGAGCTCTGTGGGCTGTTCGGCCTCCTGCATCGCCTCATCTTGAAGGATATAGCTGGTGATGGAGTCCTCGTCGAGGGACTCACGCGTGCCGGGCACCATCATCATCCTCTTCATGAGATTGTAGCTGCGCGGCAAGCCCTTGACGATGTGGGTGATGTAGGATGCCGTCGAGTATTTGGCGCCCGCCATCCGCATCTCAGCCAGGATCCGTCGAGCACGGTTGCAGTAATCCGTCGCCGACTCCTGCTCGCCCATCCGAATGTGAGTCATCTTCTCCTCCAGCTGCCTGATGTATAGGTCGTCCCTGACCTGGTACGTCGACAGGATGAAGTGCCATGCCTGGTGACCAGCATCCAGTCGCTCTCGACAGCTCCTGAGTGCCAGCTGCACCACCGGCGAGCAGCACCTCGAGATGACCATGAAGGTGAGCAAGTGAGCCGCTCGAAACTCCCCGCGCAGCTCGACATCGTCCACGGGTGGAATTGGCACTGTGCCGTCGGCGAAGCCCTTCAGCCCGGCGACCTCCAGCTGAGGTTCGATCGACTCCCTCCAGGTGATGAGGTCCCGTCGACCTTGCAGCGGTGCGACAGTGATCCGGTCCGGCGAGAACTTGAAGTAGCCATACGCCGGTGCAATCCCGCCCGCCGTCACATGCGTCGTCGCCGAGAGCCCTCCACCGCTTCGTAGAGGAGAGCGACGTCAAACATCGACGTCGGCACGCGAGTTGCCTGCAGCCGCCGTCGACCGCTGCACTCGTGCCTGGATTCCGTCGACGCCTCCGCCGACCTTGATCACCCCACTCTGCCTCGTGCCTTCGCTGCCGCTGACTCGTGCACCACCGTTGACCTCGTCGTTGACGCCACCCTCGTTGCGCACCGGTCGAGGAGATGCAGGACGGGAAGGGTGTTCCGTCACCCACTGTGACCGGATGCCCAACTCGACGATCACCAAGGGGATCGTCCCGTACTCGCCATCCGCGTGGCGTCTCCTTGCGTCAGCCAAACGTGCCTCCAAGGTGTCCGCTACGCCCGCATCAACTACGGGGTCGACCATGGTGACTATCGCTACTGCCGGCCTACGAACGACTTAGTAGGTGCAAAAGTCGGCTCCTATCTGAAGGTATTTGCGGGGCCGTCCACGATCACCGCACCATGCGGAGAGACACTCTACAACGGTAGTGAGCTAGACTACGGGGGTTGGCACGAACTACTAGGAGTGATCGTAGCTTTGCTTGGTTCCTTAGTGCTTGCACATTCACGAGAGAAATCGGAAAGAGTTTCCACTAGCAAAGTTGGAACTACAGAATGATTGAACAAGCAATGACAGAATGACTACATCAGGCACCTAGCAACCCTGCAACTAGCCTGGTCGACCGCCAGCACAGCTCGGTCGACCGCCTGCCAGCGTTGCGTAGAGGAGCCGCGCCAGCCACTGCAGAAGGGCGACCTGCCAACAGAGCAGGTCGACGGCGTGCCAACGCTGCAGCAGAGCGGCTGTCCAGCGTTGCCCCGTAGAACACAGCAGTGCGCACGCTCGCAGGTGCGCGCAGACGATTGGCCCGACTTGCCTCCTTGGGCATCCGTCGGCTGTTATCTGCGCCTGACGAGCCACATCGACTTCGGGATACCAGCCCGCAGTCGCCTGCGCCATTGCGACCTCGACGACGTTCGCGTGCCCCCGCAGAACTCGTCGAGCAGGTTACCCGGTCGACCCGGTCGACCACCAGGTGCTTCCGGTCGACCACCACTGCTTCTGGTCGACCACCAGGTCCCTCTGGTCGACCACCAGGCGCCCCTGGTCGACCACAGCTCCCGTCGAGCTACCCCCTGGTCGACGGACCCCTTCCGTCGACCAGAACCGTCAGCGGTTGTCGCCGAGCTCCCCTCGTCGACCGCTGCCCACTTGTCAGGTCGATGGACTGCTCCGTCGAGCTCCCGGTCGAACTGCAGAACGACAGACTGCTCCCGGTCGAGCTGCAGATCGACAGACTGCTCCCGGTCGAGCTGCAGGTCGACGGGGACCCCCTGGTCGAGCTGCAGGTCGACGGAGACCTCCCGGTCGAACTGCCCCTCCTGGTCGACGGCCCACCCGTCGCCCAGACCAGTCAGTTGCAGCTGTCGAGCTTCCTGGTCGACAGCAGCACCACAGTGGTCCCCTGCAGCTCGACGATGCCTGTTGAGCAGCTCTCCCACTGTGAACGGTCGGCTGCTACTTCCCGTACATCCGACCAAGTCGTCGGCGTTGCCCAAGCGAGGGCGGGGCCAACACTCCATTCCTGTTAACACATATTCTGGCGGGGGTCATAGCAGAGCTCTATGGGGAGGTGCCGACGGGGTAAATGACGGCAAAGGTGACGATGTGGAAAAAAGCGCACCACTATACCAGAGGTGGTTTACCGAGGCTCGACTCACCGAGGATCGGCAGAGGTGATCACTGTGGCATCGGAGTGCTTTGGAGAGGCTTTTAAGGAAGCAAAGGCAATAGAAGAGATAGGCTGGTTGTCGCCTGGCTCTAGCCCGGGTTTGACAATTGCAAAAGCATAACACCTGGAGGCCGGCTGGTCAAAAGAGGAGGCCAGGAAAGCGAATGATGATGGTGAACAAGGCATGACAACTTTCATGCTGTGATGGTGTTGCCCTTTTTATTGCTGCCATTGATGCAAGAGCAAATGCATGGGTGGATGTAAATTGAAGTGATTCTTTTTTTGACCTTGTCGAGTCTCATCTCTTTCGCCACTTTGAAGGGCACGCCATATGTGGTACATAAACTGTTGTTCTTGGGATACATAGCTGGTCCTAGTATTCTGGAGCCATTTGTGTTCTCGAACCCTCTAGTATATACTCCAGTCGTGCCTTTGTCTCACACTTATACTCTTGACAAATATTCTTGCACGAGCAGTAATGACATTGACTGGATTGACCTATGATTGCCCACTCGTATAGATGGAACGTGTGAACCGATGGAGCATCGTCACGGTCGACTCCATCGACTATTACTTCTCGGTGGAGTAGGTCAGCGAGCTTCTTTATAAATTCATTAAGGAGAGGAGATCGATCTATGCCAGACCGGTCCTCGTTGTCAATGGATCAGACTTCAACAAGCCAGGGATGATTTGCTCGAACTTAGTGTTCAACTCGTTAAGGATGCCCAAAAAATCGGCGAGGAAGTAGACAATGTGAAACTTGAACAATGCGTTGGCATTGTACATCGTATCTTCTTGTGTAGCAAGAGCATTGCCGCCAGTATTACCTTGGCGAAGCGCTTCGCCTCCTCCCCCCCGTGATAACCACTCTACGACATAAATGCCCTCTAAGTCGAGGTTCGTCTTGCGGACGATCTCCTGCACATGCCGGGACCGTTTGTGGTACATGGAGTTCTATGATAGCAACTGTGTCGTGGTAGGGACTGCTCGGTTGATGATATTTAACTCCATAAGCTTCCTTGGCTGCATGAACCTCGCTGCAAACATCATGCATTCAATATATTTAGTTCTTGAGAGGTGGTAACATCGATACTAGGGGTACAACGAATTTGGCCCTCCCCTCAAAATCAAACATTGTTCTTATTGATTGGTGATACACCCATAAGAAACGAGGCATGGGTCCTTCACTTTCAGACGGGCGACAAGACCAATATGTTCTTCGATCATCAAAGCAGCCCCGTCGCTGCTGCTGTCGATGTCTATCGACTGTATATGCGTTAGCAGAACATAATAAGCTTGCGACGTCACACTTCTCAACAGATAGCAGCAACAGGAATTCCGTAACGATCACATCGCCTTGCTAATAATTAACGTACACAATAACATGTTATACGCGCACCCAATTTATACTCTCACCCAACGTGATGCCAAGGTAAGGACTCATTGCGATTTGTTGAAGTTATTTATGGCGTAGATACTACGAAGCGGTCTTAAGCAACTCGCCGAATCCATACACATTCATGACGAAGCATTCAAAAACAGTTCGCAACAAAAACAAAAGGACAAATAACACCTTTTTACCATTCGAATGTTTACTCTGTATAATAGCTTTTCCACTTATCTAGCTAGAGACTTGGCATTCCCACCTCTTGCATGTGAAATGTGATCGGAGCTTTGGTTTGCATGTGAAAACTGCAGTCTTCAATGCAGTTATGAGATGAAGGATGCTCTTGTCGAGTCCCTTAACTCATTCAGTAACGTTTGACACATCTTCCGTATCTACTTCACCTTCATTGAAGCGTGGGCATTCATATGTGCTGTGGAGTGTTGATGGATACGGATGCTTTGCTTCCGCATGTTACGACCACCATCTCCGCTCTTGCCATATGCCGTGTTAGCATTGTTCGCACCATGCTCCATGTAGATGCTGCATTTCAACATAGGAAATATGTCATCAGTGTATGATAAGACAAGCCACAGGAATAAAACTTCACACGAAGTCCTATATCGCGTGTGTGCGGTTGCAAAGGCGACTTCGAAATTGCGAGTATCTTGGGGGGGGGGGGGGGGAGGGGAGGGGAGGGGTCCTAATCTTCATCGGCCAATTCGTCGACAGGACTAGCCTCACGAGTGAAGCGTAGCTTCCGTCGTCGCCTTTTTGTCGCACGCCACTTTCGGCGGGCTTGCGCTTCGAGGAACTCCAATCCCATGCAACATCCACCGATTGAAGTGTTGGATCGGCTGCCTAAGGAGCTGGTGTCATGGCAACAGAAGGTGTGGAGGTGGGACCTTTAGTTGTGGGCAATGCATGCCCTTTGACGCGCGTCTGTTTACGAAAAGCTCGTTCCCCACACGCATAGGAACTGGCTTTAAATAACCGAGGCACGTTCGTGGGAGAGAGTGGGGTCGTTGTTTGTCAAAAGCAAACGTGCGAAAGGTAACTCAATGAGCTAACGTGCGGAGGGAGGAGTGGGGAGGCTACAATCAGAGCTAGAATGGATGAATCATGAAACTGAAGTCTGTGCGAAAAAAATGACAGATGAGACGATGAAGGGTGTTGCGGTCTAAAGTGAGTGTGGGTGGAATGGGGAAAATTTAGGATGGTTGGGTGGGATGGGCAAATATATGTAATTGGGTGCTTATAATATGCTATCGTGCTCGTACCTTTTTGCTGGTATTCTGTGTCTTGGCGGCCGCGCGCCAGGACGTCAAGGTGACGCGCACAACCGCTGAATATGATATTTTGCTACTGATTGTTGTAGAAAGTTTAGCGACGTGCGTGCTATACCCCCGTGTAATCCTGATTTATTCATGAGTGTTATATTCAATCCTACTAATCCGCATCAACCCAATAACATAAAACCATATTGAATTATTAGGCATGTATGAAATATTTATTTTCCAGAAGAAGGACCTACACCAAACAAGTCTAAAGAAAAAAATAGGGACCCCTACCCTGCCTTTTTGTAAGGGTCATGAGGGTGATTCACCATGTTAGCAAGTAGAATCGGGCTTTAAGCGCGGTCCAGAGCGAGATGACTCGGTGGTGCCGCGCGCACATGGTTCAGATCTTCCGCGAAAACCCCACCTTGACGCCTCTTCAGGCGTACAACGCCGCCCAACGCTCTGGAAGATACACCGGTTGAACAGTGTTGTACAGGTAAGGCAGGAGGAGGATGGAAAAGAGGAGGGCGAGGAGGGATTGGGCGAGGAGGAGGGCGAGGAGGGCAAGGAGGAGGGCGAGGAGGGCAAGGAGGAGGGCGAGGAGGGATTGGGCGAGCAGGAGGGCCAGGAGGAGGGCGAGGAGGAGGGAAAAGAGGAGGGCGAGGAGGAGAGTGAAGAAGAGTGCGAGGAGGAGGAGGGCTGCGAGGAGGGAGACGAGGAGGGCGACAAGGAGAGCGGCAACCAAGTGAAGAAGATGTGGAGAGAGGGGATGGTAGTGCAAGCATCATTTCGCACGTATGGTAGAGGCAGGAAAAGGAGGGCGGTGGAGACTCGCATGAGTGAGGCACAGGTGGATGCAAGTCAGAGGGAGACTCAATTTCATGCGTCTCAGATTGGGACGTGCGTGCTATACCCCCCTGTAATCTTGATGTATTTATTAGTGTCATAATCAATCCTACTAATCCGCATCAACCCATTAACATAAAACCATATTGAATTATTAGGCCTGTATGAAAGATTTGTTTTTCAAAAGAAGGACCTACACAAACAAGTCCAAACAAAATAATAGGGACCCCTACCCTGCCTTATTGTAAGGATCATGAGGGTGATTCACCATGTTAGCAAGCAAAAGCGGGCCTTAAGCGCGGTCCAAAGCAAGATGACTCGGTGGTGTCCCGCGCGCATGGTTCAGATCTTCCGCGAAAAACCCCACCTTGACGCCTCTTCAGGCGTACAACGCCGCCCAAACGGCTCTGGAAGATACACCGGTTGAACAGTGTTGTACAGGTAAGGCAGGAGGAGGATGGAAAAGAGGAGGGCGAGGAGGGATTGGGCGAGGAGGAGGGCGAGGAGGGCAAAGAGGAGGGCGAGGAGGGCAAGGAGGAGGGCGAGGAGGGATTGGGCGAGCAGGAGGGCCAGGAGGAGGGCGAGAAGGAGGGAAAAGAGGAGGGGCGAGGAGGAGAGTGAGGAAGAGTGCGAGGAGGAGGAGGGCAGCGAGGAGGGAGACGAGGAGGGCGACAAGGAGAGCGGCAACCAAGTGAAGAAGATGTGGAGAGAGGGGATGGTAGTGCAAGCAGCATTTCGCACGTATGGTAGAGGCAGGAAAAGGAGGGCGGTGGAGACTCGCATGAGTGAGGCACAGGTGGATGAGTGAGTAAGAGGGAGACTCAATTTCATGCGTCTCAGATCGGGACGCAATTACCTGCGCTCTCTATTGTTGATGACAGTGTTGTTTTTTAAAGTCTCGAGGGTGAATGAGGCAAGCGGAAGTGGTGCGCGGGCCTGGCCATCGCCACTCGAGCGAAATAAGTCTGCACAGTAAGAGGTAAACGAGGTGTGCCTTCCCTCTCTTCAGCCCATCCCCCCTCTTTGTTGCACGCGACCCCTCTACCCTTTTCAATTGTCCTTCCTCTTTGTTGTTGTACGGCAAAGTCTCGAGGGTGAATGAGGCAAGCGGAAGCGGTGGCGCGGTCCAGGCCATCGCCACTCGAGCGAAATAAGTCTGCACAGTAAGAGGTAAACGAGGTGTGCCTTCCTCTCTTCAGCCCATCCCCCCTCTTTGTTGCACGCCACCCCACTACCCCTTTCAATTGTCCTTCCTCTTTGTTGTCGTACGGTATGTCATCTCCTATTTTTTGGCACTCTCGTGATTTGATATTCTCATCTCTTTTGCACAATCACTCTTGCACTCTTATTTTTTTCCCTTCACCCCTCCCCTCCTCTTTCATTACATTCCTCTTCCCTTGCACATGCCTCCACCCCCTCATCTTCTTCCTCCTTCATCCATTATATCCCTTCCAATTATCGCTTGCCCTTTCTATTTTTTTTCCCTTCCAGATTATTCTACGTTGTAACGTCTCGAAGTCCTCGGTAGGGGCAGGTGCTAGATAGTCATAGGCATGAAAGCAATCTACTACCAATCTTCCAAACTAATAGTCCTGCAGAGACAACTTACTAGCAGACAGACGAGGTAGCCACAAGCAAAGAGACAACTAGCATGCAAGTCGCCAGGCAAGCAGACTAAGGAACAAGCAAGCATGCATGTAAGCAAGCAGACAGAAAGACGACTGGACCAGCAAACCATACAAGCAGTCAAGCAATTCCACAGGCAAACAAGCAAGCAAGCAAATGATTCTGCCCTCTAGCGGACTCGATAAACCTCATGGCACCTACTCCAGCCCGCTACCCTTGACACCCCCCTGGCCCTATGTCCGACCCGCCTGCCATGTCCCCTCCCGGTCATCACCGGTTGGGAGCTCACCCTTCTCTCCCTCCAACGTTTTTTTACCTCTGCTGCACTTTCCTGATTCGTCAATCTTCTCCCCTCCCTTGATTTCTCCCTCACCTTGTTTTCCCCTCTTCTCCTCTCCTTCCTCCACCTCTCTCCTTCGCTCTGATGCATCCCTTCCCCCTTATCCCCTGCTCCCTTTTCCCCCACCTTTCCTCCCCCTGTTTTACCCCCTTCCTGCCCCTCTAGACCCATCATCCTTCCACCTGTCGAATCTCCTCTTCCCACCCCCCCACCCCGCTTTTCCTCGTCAATGGGCAGATTGCAACAGCGACTGTTGCAATGGCTGGAGCCCATCAATAAGAGTGAGAGTAGTGCTAATCAGAGTTCATGTTAAAAGTTAACGGTACGATCAATTTCCCGACTTGCTTGCGTCTGATGCTTAGAATTTATTTGCATATTTGCCAGCAGGCCCTCAGATTGAACTTATGTTACATTGTCCATACATCTTGGGATACATTCAAGGTACACACAATGTGTCCACGACCAGCGCGCGGAGGCATGCCAGGTGTGGTCCATGACAAGTACAGACAATGTGTCAATGTCCTGATAATAGCATGTCCCGATAATGAGCTCCATTGTCTACAATAAACAATGTGAATACACGACTCGCATACATATTATTTTTTGTATTGCATTTTCATTGGTG